GACTTTTTGCCGATCAGGAAAGTCGAATGATTATTCACTTCGATAACGATGATCAGAACAATTTTTTTGTCGTCCGATTATGAACTGAATTATTTGGAGATCTGTAGAGGGTGAGGCTGTGTAGGGTGAGGGTGAGTGGGGGTGAAGGTAAGAGTGAGAGTGAGGGTGAGCACTTGGTGCCGAACTGTCGTTATTACTTAAATGTCGGTCGCTCAAGTGTCGGTCGCTCAGGTGTAGGGGTCGCTCAAATGTCGGTCGCTCAAGTGTCGGGGCGCTCAAATGTCGACGCTCAAATGTCGGACGCTCAAACGTCGGTTAATCGTCTATTTAGACTTCAACGAAGGTTAGATCAGGTCAAGTTATGTGAAAGTTGTAATTCTTACTGTGAAAATAGCCCAGTGCGATGAGCACTGAAATATAAAGTACAAACTACACAGCTTGGTGAATAATCGCTCTCTTGCTTGCCTATAAAGCCATTTTGCCACGGCGTAGAATTCTGCTTTATAAGTAGCCGATGACAGAACAGCGACGATGAATGTTGTCATGCCGAACAGGTATGAATGAAATGACTGACCACAAAATATACCGTTTACGATCGAATTCCTTCGAAGGCTTATGATCAAATGTCTGAATGCTTGAAGCTGTTGTTTCATTATTGAAAGATCAACAAAATTTCTGCTGTTTTCATTCTATTGTATATTCCCACAGAAAATAAAACCTTTCTAACCAGTTGTGTTCTAAGCACAGTATCAGCCAATCGCACGTACCCACTCGACATTACATATTGTTCAACTTTATTGATATGAGATCTCGTCTATACTTTTAGAAAGATATTTGCACGCTGTTCAACCGGTAACATATTCCATTTGATTCTATTTTTTAATGCACTATCAATGGCTTTTTGAATCACACTTCTATCAGCATAACAAAATTCAGCTATAGTCGTTTTATGATCAAATGGTACAACTTGACGTTGTATATCGTTTGTCCACACTTCTTTTCCATCTATTATGCACGGAATATGCGTTATTTTAGTTAGAGTTGAGATTCTATTAGCAGCACTCTTAGCCATTTATACGTTTACCAAATTTATTTTCGATTCTGTACAGACGAAATATATTCGAAATATATTCACCCTCACCCTCACCCTTAAATAAGTTCTTTTTATTTCTCGACGAAGTGATGTTATGACATATGTTTACTACAGACATGACGAGCAAACCTAACCTGACCCAGATATGTAGAATCACTAATGACAACTCAACCAAACCCGCTATAGGGATTACACCGTACTAGAAATTGATATGCTCCTTGCTGTTTTCAAAATTCTTAAGGAGCTACTATTTGCCTTCTTATGCAGTCTAATCTATAGAAACTTTTTCCACTTCAGTATTTACCCTGAGTTGTCGGACGATGGAATCTTCCTAACTGTTCAATCACTTTTTTCACCAAACCTAGTGGGTTATACATTATCAACCACGCTGATTGCGAATATCCGCATGAGCCGGGTTGCTGAGCCTTCCTAGAGCGTGGCCTTCCTTGATCTTGAATAGTTGTGGAGAACGTTAAGTTGTGTATTTCCATTTTGAAATGACTCTAACAAAATCGAGAAGAACAGAATTTCCAACGTACGAAGAACGTGACTAATCTTTTAATGGTATGCATACACAGTACATCCAAAACGGAAAAAATTAGTGTTTTACACACAGCTCGATGTTCTCTACAACCAGGACAGATCAAAAAAATTTTTGTCGAAAAAGGTTTTCCGGTAGAAAAAATTGTTTACTTTTGTTAGTGATCTTGTGATAATAGACCAGTATTGTGTTCATCTTGCGTAAACGTTTTTAGAACATCCTAAATGAATAGTCTCAATCGACAGAGGAGACAATTGTGCATAATTTATGCCAAGGAATCGTCTAATTATAACTTAAATACGAATAGAAAATGAGAAACACTTTTATAGATAAATCCCGTGTGTTTTGCACGGACTGTTCCAATTACCCCACTCATTTACACGTACTGCTCTGATTCCCCACATGCGGGAAATTGGAACACAAAAAAAATTTACTAGTCGCTTTTTGAATAGAGCGAGCTCCGTCAAATATTATCCGTTTGCAATCTAATCCATATCAGGCGATAGAGCCGAATATCCTCTACATATCAAAGGATGTGTGCAAAAGTAATTTAAAATACAAATATAAAATTCAAATTACTTTTATTTAAAAATCCCGTGTATTTTCCACGGACTGTTCTAATTACCCCACCCATTTATACGTACTGCTCTAATTCCTCACATGCGGGGAATTAGAATAGTCGCTATTAGAATAGTGCTCTAATTACCTCACCTTACTCTATTATAAATTGACAAAATACGAAAGAGTCAAGCTTGTATAAGAGTAACTTTATAGCTACGATTTTTCCTTTCAAACTACAAACATATCTAGATGTGTATGAGATCTCGTATTTAACTTTTGCTTTCAGCTCGACAAAATTTGTTAAAGAAACAGTAAATCGTTGAAAAAACACTCGTGGTCTTAGCCGTCTGTTTTTATCAATTATAAAATGATAGATGAAAATCATTTAATTTTAATTTCGTAAAAAGTCTATCATTTCATAAATTAATTATGAAATGATAGACCTAGATGATATGAGATACCGAGTTTTTACATAGATCGTCTAGAGATTTTCAAAGAAAATCCATGTTTCTAATAAATTCAATAGTACGACAACATTTTACACTAGACTCTCTAGAGGAACGCCTTAGTTAAAAGAGTGAAAAAAAGGCTAAATAAAATTGACTGCGATCAGGGATTGAAAGGCTTTGATAGGAAGTCAGTGATGGTTTTTGGATACTGAAAATGTTTAGATTGTAAGAAATCAACTTTGTCGTTTAAAGTGAGTGGAAATTTTATTAATTCTTGCGTACTAGACCCTTTAACACGCAGAGAGCTTTTCGCTGAAATTCCCACGGCAACTATGATACCTGTAAAATGCAGGGAAACAGGTGATTCAATCAGACCAGCAAATTGTCACAAAATCAAATCGATCAGATCTGAAAAGTCTGATTTTTAGAAATCTAGTGGATCCCGCGGAAAATCAAGTGAACGCAAAGATTACATGCCAAAGAAGAGCAAATGATGTAGTACGAAATTGGTTGTTAGTTGAAAGGAACAGGACATGTGCTGGCTAACTATTTAGTCTAGAAAAGACAGTTTAATCTTTTGGAAAAAAAGCCAATTTTTGTCTTTCACTGATGCTTGTTCAAGTAGAGAAATAATTATCGAGCTTTGATTGACCAGTGAATATAGGATTTCACAAAAAAAATTTAACAAGTATATACGTTTCTACTACATGGAAGAGATCTAAAATGAAAAAAAGAAAATTGTAATTAATGATAAAGAAAAAAGTGCATGATCATAGCAGATAAACTGTATTTAGTTTATAATATTTCAAAAATCTATTCGACATGTCTAAATATTGAACGAATTAACGAATTCACTTATCCTACAGGAAAAGTCAGCATTCAGTCTACTACTAAAAAGTCAAAAATAGAAGAAATTCGCTTGAAAAAGAAAAAACGAAAAGCAAAAATTTAGTGAGGTAGGATGAGAGGATTCCTGCGAGCATTGTATTGAATTCAGAAATATTTTTAAACCTCTGTTCATCTTTGGACGGTCCTCAGGACATTGAAACTGCCAAGTTAACTGCCGGTTAATTGCCAGTTGACAGCCAGTTTACTGCCTGTTTTTAAACCGTTCAGACAGTTTCTTGATGGTTTGGATGGTATGGCTTTACCATCATAAATAGGTGGTTTTTCAACTGCCGAAAAACTGCCAGTCAACCGCGTTCTCATATATCGAATTTTCACCAGAGCTTTACCGTTAAAAGATAGTTTATTGGCTATAAATATGCAGTTTCCAAGCAGTTTGAACTACCAATTTAAGGCGGTAAAACGGTCTATGTAAGATAAACGGTTTTTAGGACGTTTTTAAGCAGTTAACGGTCAGTAAATAGTTTATTGGCCAATAAACCGTCAAGAGAAAAGAAAGAAAAAGAGTGTAATAACGTCAGATATACGGATTGGATCTATGTCTGACAGATTAGTAGTCTACGTGCTGTTACCAACCGAGCTGTAACGGCCTACATTTATGAAAGCTCACTTCGAGATTATATTCTAATAAGACAATTTTTGGCGTGTGCTAAATTATGTAAAAAAGGAAAGAGTTATGCCACACCACATAAGAGCGTCTACTTTCGCGAAAATAGAAAGACTCTCCTTTCCGTATATAACCGTTGCCGAGCACATTTGAAGTGCTTTGCCAGGTAAAACGGAATATTTTACTTGTTATCCAAAACAATATAAAATTAACTCTTTTAAAACGTTTTGAGTAAAATGTAATACTGTAGTACACCATAGTTATTAGAACTTGATAATAATAAGATAAGATTCTTGCAAGGAATTTGTTAGAAAATAGATAAAAATCACATAACGGTTCTTATCACTTTCCTGTGAAACTCTTATCAAACTCTATAAGATTCGTATGGAATTCTGGGACTTTCTTGTTTAAATCTTGTTAAAATCTTTAATCTTGTTTAAAAATCCGATAAGAATATGAGCAGACCCTTACACGAACCATATTTGATACTTATAAGTTTCCAGTATGATTCTTAACTGATTCTTATGTAAGAAAAGACGATCAGGGTTTACGGTCAATTGCATTCGTCGAATTCGTTTCCTACAGGCGTAAACGCTAGGTTACCGTAATTTCGAGAAGCTTAGGAATTAATCATAATTCACGATCACCTTGATGACATGTCAACGGCTTAATGGGAACACTATTCTCACGATCGCAGAACGTATTCGAAGGTTAGAACTCCCTTGTCCATATTTCATAAAGAACTGCGCGTAATACGGGCACATAGATTCCAATTCACCTACGACCAGTTACGGCGTTTTTACGTGCTGTATACGGCTGGAAAAGCACAGTATTTCCGCCGTTTGCGATCGACTACGGAGCCATAACCATAGACGCAGGAAGTGAAATTTTCTAAAGACTAAGGATGTGTGGCGTATACGTTTATTATACTGCAGTTAATACTGTACACTTTCCAAGTAAAACATGCCTGCAGTAGATCTGCACACATATTGTAATTTGCAAATTTTCGTGCAGAATGTGCATGCGGAATTACAAAATTTCTAGCAAAATCTGTGTAATATCTGTGCAAATTATTAAATAATATCGACAAAGTCTTCACAAATTTTAGCGGATTTATTATTATATTGTTCCTTGTAGAAAGTTTCTTTGAATTGTACATTTAAGCTGTGAATCCTGAAATACAATTTTATTGCTGTCAAACCAGCAAACGTGTCACAGTGGGCATTCAGGCGGAAATTTGAGCAAAAATCGATAAGTGAGCTTTTTTGAATTCGAGTAGTAGTAAATGTAGTCCTTGAAAAGCGCTATCGAATGGTATATAATGGTTGACTAGTAATGAACTCCTTCGATGAGTAAGTTAACTTACGAACATTCACAAAAAACACCGTCAAATATGACACATCTGCAAAGATTCTTATTTCTATGTACAGACGTGCAATATTACCCTATCCAAA